TACGTATGAATGACTTTCCAACTGAATTATGAATATATCGCAGAGAAGACCTAACCTAATTTTTTGGTTTTCCTCTTATTCAGTTCCTATCAGAGGATTTGTAATCCAAAACGAACTTCAATGTGACATCCCTTCTCTTGCATCTTGTTTATCAATATTCCAAGACATTTCCTGGATTTATCCGAAGTATCAAGTCGCGTAGATTCGTCCTTAGAAAGCCACAAAATGGCATTTCCCTTTGATGTTTTTTGATTAAGTTGTGTTGCCGGCTGTAATTGAAATTGAAGCTATGGTTCACTTGGTAAATGAGTAATCTGTATGCAAGGTAGGCGTCCTTGCTATCTAAAATACCGACCGCGTTTTAGTATCAATGAGTGCGAATGCTCGTTCCCTTTCCAGTGATTCGCATAAATTCCACTACAAAAACTTTATTATCATAGTCGATGGAAGATTTGAAATGGGGCCAACTATTGGTTAATGTGGAATCGATAGAGGTTTGGCTGGTTATTAGTGGAACAATTATTGGAACTCACCGGAAATAATCATTTGGGCATATAAAAACCTCTTCTGCAATTTAGAACTATTGTTTTTGAATTTGAACTCATTTTTAACCCTATCATTCTTACCTTTTTCTCGCTGGAGGTTAAATCTATTTGGAAAAACGTTCTCATATAAACGCAGTTCTTCGAATGAAAAAGTTCCTGAATAGTGAAGTTCGAAGTGAACTGAATTGATCCTCATAATGATTAGGCAAGTCATTTTAGTGGGTTTACTTAGGAAAGTGGGCATAACCAGCTGTAAATGTGTATAAACTTTGTATTTTGGCATCATGAAAGTATTCTCAAAATTCACATATGATTCGAAGGCCACAACTTCAAAAATTGGGGGTCAAAAGTCAAAAAAACCGACTTTTTGCACTTTTTTGCCAATATCTCGTTTCCAATGGATTTTATGCTGATTGTATTCATCATCAATATTGTAGAGAATTGAATTCTCTACAACTTTTGTTCCAATCATATTTTTATACGTTGAATCGTTTTTGAGATAGAGGGCAGCGCGAGCGCAGATTAAATATTAAGAAATAAAATTTTAAACAATCTTTTAATCAAAAAATCTCATTTGATACATTTGTGAATGTCAAAATTGAAAAAACAGATAAAATAATTAAAAGAATAATGAGTTTTAATTTCAATTTTCTTCTTCTTCATCGTTGTCGTCTTCTGGCAGCTGTAAAAATTCAAGGGCGATATCATCTTCATTGTGCATTAAGTGCATTTTTCATTTTTTTTTCTTTTTATTATATAACTATTAGTCTAGAAACATGTTTGTATAGCTATTTTTTATTTTTATATTAGGACATGTCCTACTAAATAATTAAATTTCTTCGTCTTCTTCTACCATAGACGTGCGTCCATATAAAAACGAAATTTAAGGATATTATTGAATATTTTGTGGTAAGTTACTTATAATGAAATACAAAAACTAAAAACAATAATAACAGCAGCGAATAAACTAAACACAATATTAATTTCCGACCGTTTATTGTAACGCCCGTGAGACCGTCGAATCCGTTGGTACTACAGCACTGAACGCTTTGGATGAGATACTCATCCAACAGCGGTTGAAAGTCCCCGGCAACTCGGACGGATCACGTGGCAATAGAGCCTACAAGTTGTATTATTCTACTGATCTATCTATTTTGCTATTGAACGATGTCTAATATTGCGATCATATCTACTGAAATCTATTTGACATGATGACAGTTTCCAAAATTATGAACTGCGTGTTTCTTTCAAAACATCCTGTATTATATCAAATATTTTCTATGTTCTCAATGAACAGCTAGTATAAAACCCAATCGCAAATATTATTTCTCTCAAAATTATTTCCATTTCCATATAGTTTCACTTATCGCGAGTTATGTCGAACTCACCTAGGATTAATGAAAGGATAGCATGCATCCATCAACATTAATCAAACTTTCAAGTAATAATCAACGCGAGCATTTGTAGAAACTGAATATTTTCTCACAATTATACCCGAGGTTAACTACTGGGTTTATCCTTAAACGATCTTAATGTCGCTTATAATAGAAAATGAATGATTGTTTTCTTGACATGGAATTCGTGCTGAGTACCCATATCTGACGTTATTTACCTGAATCTTCAAGAAAGTGGAATGACAAAATTATAGCAAATACACATATTTAGGGGTATTGAAAAACCATCTAGTCTGACAATCTTTCGCTATACAATAGCATATTCAGGCGTCACAAATTTCTTTTGCAAATATATGGGTAAAACAAGCTACAATGATGCTGGTATAATCATAATTGAAACAGCAATAGAGCAATTCAATTCAACAAATTCAACTATTGTTGTAGGTGAAGATGTAGACTCACTCGTATTACTGACTTCTCGGACTCCAGTCGAAAAAACTATTTTTTCTTAAAACCTGGAAAAGCTCAATATCAATCGGAAATCTATTGTAACGAATTTGAAGCCGCCCCTGACCGATATGCCGGCCGACTCAGCGAACAAACACATTACATCATCGCGAAAGAATGCAGTCGGGATCCGCCGGTAAAACTCTAGAACCGAACCGACTACAGATTTCTAGAAAGGACCGTTAACGATATAAGCGCGGCTTCCCGACCCAAGAGGGCAGATCAGTTTCCTGTATTGTACGTTTCTCTTTTGTGAACCTCTCATGTGTGAGAGGAAAAGTCAAAAGACGATGCACTGGAAAATTCAGCCCAGCACGTCTAAGTATGGTTGGAACTGTGATTTCATTTAACGTTTTCTTTGCATCTCTGGTTGGATATTGACATTGTATTAAATGTGTGTTTTTCTATAAAATTGATCAACATCTCCCAATCGGTGGCCCTCCCAAATTGTTTTTTTTTTTTTTATTAACAGCAATATTTTGAGCATTGTTACATGGTAACGTAACAAATTTAACTCAATTTCCGATTATCAATATGGCTTTAGAGAGGAAAAATCAAATGATGATGCAATTCGTCAACTCAACATTTACAATTCATTAGATACAAGCAATCCATCGCTTTGTATATTAGATGGTCTCTCTAAAGCCTTTGATACTGTGTGCCATACGAAATTACTGTAAAAAATTAAAAACTATGGCACGAGAGGTAACACTCACAAAATTTTGAAAAGTTATTCAACAGATCGTGACCAAAGAGTTCGCATTGGTGATACCTTGAGTGAACCAATGACTGTCACATATGGAGTGCTACAAGGAACGGTAGTAGGCCCTCTCTTGTTTACTCTATATATTAACAATTTACTGAATATCAAAACTATATATAGGCAAAATTCTGAGTTTGGCAGACAACACCGCCAGTTTTTATGAATCTAAGTCATGGAAATCCTTGCAGTCAGAAGTGGAAGATGATTTTAAGATTATATATCATTATTATTATTAATAGAGTATTTGTAATCGATAGTTCATTCTTTGATGACCCTCCACCAATGACTACGAAGAACATCAAGAATTCAACATTCGCCGATAGTTCAAAACGCTTTTCATATTTTCGAACCGTACTAACGATGGAAAAGTCGGCATTTCCTCGTTTACAATCAACAGAAGCAAAGGTCTTTCAATAGAAAATGACACGGTGACACGTCAGTCGCAGCTTTTGGCGCGCCATTGTATTTCGGTAATGAAAAGCTCGCAGGAATCGGAGTCTCCTGCTTTTGCGACGATTAGTTCTGATAACCGCGAATCGAATACGACAAACCCAACCGAATCCATTCTTGGTACATCGGGACTTTTCTAATCTATCCGCGTGTGACAGCTCAAGACACGAACAGTAACAATTCGTCATTGGGATCCCCTCTTCAGGTTTTCATTAAAATATGGCGTGTGGTTAGGGTCAGAAGGGTGGATGTAGGCCGGTTATGAATGATTTTGAAGGGAAAATTTTGTGTGGTGTAATAAAACAACAAGAGAACGTGCCAGTAAATAAGTTTCCGTCTGTATCAGCCCCAATTGAAATATCTATCGATCTCTCTTAAAGATCATTGATTTCGATACCAACAGACTATATTTTTGTATTGGTGGTAGCATATGGAACTAAGATATATTCATCTTGGTTTTCGTCGTTTTTAAAAGTCAAGATTTCGTTCATTATTAACCTAAACTTATTCTTCCTTATTATATAATCTACAATAACCATCGAGAAACCGTTACTGGCTGCTATTTCCTGTATTGTACGTTTTTCTTTTGTGAACCTCTCATGAGTGAGAGGAAAAGTCAAAAGACGATGCATTAGAGAATTCAGCCCATCACGTCTTTTGCAGTCTAAGTTTGGTTGGAGCAGTAATTTCACTTTACGTTTTCTTTGCACCTCTGGTTGGATATTGGAGGAGTTTTAACAATATTTTATTCCAGACAGGATTTCTTCAAAGTGACATTGTATTGAATGTGTGTTTTTCTATAAAATTGATCAACATTTCTCAATCCGTGGCCCTCCCATATTGTTTTTTTTAATTTACAGCAAAATACACTAAAAATGTGCAGAAATTTCAAAAATCAGACATTGTCTTGAATCCTTAGACAATGAATCAGATTTCACTTTGCCACCTAGCTTCAAATAAATGAAAAAGAATAAAAAGTGATGCCATCTTGTTGCAGATTTCTCATTAATGAATTGACTCTACTTATGTAGAGATGTCTTCACGATATATGATTTAGTAGTTATTTGATTTATTGCTTAGACAAATATGCATAGAAATCATCTCGACGCATGTTTTCCAAAGCGGTTGAGATGTTGCTACCTTCTATCTAATCAAATGCTTTAGAATACTTGTAAAATACTCTTCAGATCGTTTTAGACAAATGACGTTTGACACAGAACATTATATGAGGTTACTTTAAATGATTAGTTTTATTATGAGCACTAAAGTATGATCTATGTGTCCCATGTCAAATAAGTCTGCCTGAAACATGTGATCTGTGATATTTTGAAACTATTTGACCTATGTCAAATTCAATGTCAATATGTTATTATCTTTTTAAACTATGATCGATATAAAGATATGAAGAAAAATAAGTTCTTCGTGAATTTTAAGTTAAGAATCATTCACTTCCACGAATGATGGTAGATCATCATTCAGGGAACTCCACCTACCTGAAATGATGAGAATTTCCAAATTCACTGTAGGAATTTTAGTATCGATGATATTATTGTCGATATTTTTTACAAATGTTGTCAATTTGTTAAGTACGCACGCAGAAAATACGGATGACTTCGCTAAAGATAATTTTTTGAAGCTAACTGACACCCATGAAAATTTGATGTGGTTCATTCAAGTGAGTAAGTATATGATATGACATCTTCATATTCAAACAGTAATCATTTCAGATAACAGATATTCATATTAGCATATTCAGAGATCCCTTGAGAATTACAGAATTCAAAGAATTTTGTCATTACACGATCAATACAATTAGACCTTCTGTAGTATTAGCATCCGGAGACCTCACGGATGCCAAAACCAAAGATTCAATTGGCTCGGAACAGTATGAAGACGAATGGAGGCATTATCGTGATATATTGAAAGAGGCTCGCATTCAAGAGAAGACATTGTGGCTTGATATTCGAGGAAATCATGGTATGTATCGATAAATAGATTTTCTGAAAGTTTTCTGGTTATATATGCAGAAAATTGAATGATTGTCAAGCCTAGAAAATTTATAGAGTTATCCACCTCAACCAACTAATTGTAAACACAGCTGTATTTTTTCACAGATAATTTCAATGTCGCTGATTTCAAGTCAAAGCAAAATTTTTTCACCAACTATTCCATCCAAGGAAAGAAAAATCCTCGATCCTATAGGTATCAAATGAGAAAAAGGAACAACCTGTACACCTTCATTGGAATTGATGCCTGCTTAGAACCCGGTAAGAATTCCTACTTCACTTTTTCTTGTTTTTTCTCAACAGAACGTTTTGCAGGTCCGAGAAGACCTTTCAACTTTGTCGGAATACTGGACGATCTCGAAGTTAATGAACTTAATTCTCTCATCCAGCAGACCGAAAACAGCCCAAACAATTACACAGTTTTCTTTGGCCACTTTCCCACGTCATGCATTATAACGCCTGGCCACGAAAGTGTCAGAGATATGATCGGAAAACACAAAGAAGGAATGGTATATGTTTGCGGTCATCTCCATAGGCTTGGCGGACTGGTACCTAAAATGTATACCCTGCAAAAGGCTGGATTTCTAGAACTCGAACTGGGCGATTGGAAAGATAACAGAGTGTAAGTATAGCCAAAGGATCTAGAGTTACCTTTTATTAATGAAAAGTCCTTTGTAGAAGTGTCATTTAGTTTCATAATTGCTCTGACAGAAAATGGAGTTACGGGTTGTAAAAGATGAGTTATTGAAAGGGATATGTTTCTTAGTAGAGATTAATTGATTCCATTTGCCACCCTTTTCAACATAGAAGATAACTACAGAGAATGTTGAAGGTAGAATTTTTATTAGTGATATTGTGAATTTATAAAGTATATTTTCACATTCATATCACTTTTAATATATAACCTAAAGAAAAAACAGATCAAATTAAGTAAAGATCATTCAGAAAACAATAAAAAACATTTAAGTAACGATCACTCGAGAAGTAAACGATAGGAAGTAGAATAATAAACAATTGGGTTTGGTTTAAACTGGTTAAAAATTAGAACTGAAACAATATTTGAATATCTGATAAATTTGTTATAAATTTTAATTCCAAACTCCACTGATAATGACAATAACAAAGTAACAAATACGTTTGGTATTGTTTTGAAGGACATTATCAATATTAGAAAAAGTGTTTACAGAGATAATAAATGTGTTAAGTACTCGTATATACCAAGTGCATCAAAAAATCGACTTTTACCACATGTTACCTGCCAAATGTAATTGTATCTATCGGTTCTTTCCCGACAGAAAATTTCTGGCTGCCTTACTGAGCAAAAGTTGACAAGAGAAAAGAAAATTCACACTCTTATCATATATATTTAAGCTGCAGTATTTTTACTGTTGCACCCATTTCATTTTTCACTCATAGAATCCCATATTAGATACGGACTACCCTTTTGGGGTTTTTGTAGGAAAACCTTATGGAATTCTGTGTTCATTCTACAAAAGAGAGCAATCCGTTATTTGTACAAGGCCAAAGCAAGGGATCACTGTAGACCACTATTCATCAAGCATCAAATTCTTACGCTTACTGTTTGATTTCATTTGATTTGATTTAATTATTATTAAAATTTCAGGAAATATTCTGTCACTTTCATTCTAAAACCTCACCTATTTGTACACACAAACACACAGAAATACTTATCTCTATCACCAAAACTTTTTGACGCAGATTCAGTCGAAGTTATTCAACAATGACGTAGCTTCTCTACACTTCCTTTCAAACCAATATTTATCCTTGTAGATAATTCCAGCTTTGTACAGATAATATTTGAAGTTTATAGTATAATTCATATCCTGATGACGTCAACTTGGCTGATGAAACGTGCCACTAAAAATTGTTATGGTTCTGATGTATGAGAGAAGAATTTGTGTTGTATTCATTCCAGGCCATAGATTCTAGTTCCACATGACATATTTTCCAATTTGGAGAGAGAGAGACTGAATGCAACTTGTAGTGCCAAATGTTCCGTCTGCTACTGCGACATCTTCAGTGATTTATGCGTTGACTGCGAGGATAAGGATAGTATGTATAAAGTATCGGCAACGACTGACTAGGGAGCTCCCTGTTCACTCGTATTTATACATTTAGAAGGTGGTGGGGGTGGTGGTAGAGTTGGTGGTGGGGTGTCTATACGACTGCTCACTTCTGATTGGTTCGCTCTTGTGCTAGATCATTCTGATTGGTCCTAGTTGTTGGCTGGTATGTTTCTGGAGAGATGTCGATCGGAGTTGTATTCTAGTACATTTCCGGCCTTCTTGAGTATGTTTCATTGACCTGTATACCTTCTTCTTTTTTTTTGAAATTGTTGAGGAGTTTTTAGATCTTGATGAGCTTTCTACGAGTCATTCCTGATTATGTGTTGTATTGGACAGGACAGTAGTTTCTTCGTATTTTATTGTGTGGATTGTTTCTGCTGGGACATATTTTGCCGCATAAGGTGGCAGCAACTCTTGTGTTCTTGTATCCTAGTGTTGATGCTCCCTCTGGTAGTTCTGATGTAAACTGAGCCTGAGAACCTGGAATTATGTAAACAATGGCGGATTAAGAAGGGCTTTTTTTCATCATTGACCGATATGTGAGTGAGTTGGCTTGTAAACGGTTTAAACGGTATTCTAATGCGACCATGACTTTGTTTATGGGAGGCACATCGCAAACCCATTGGTCTGGCTTGTTCTAGATGACAACATTCTTCTTCAATAAGATGTAGCTCACAGATCCTGGTGGCATGATCAACAAGGATTTTTGCTCTGGTTGTTTAGGTTCTTGTTGAGATACCAATCAATATGAGTAGGTTTTTCTGTTGACCAGTTTATCCAGCAATGGTATCTCTCCTTCATTTTCTTTTTTCGAGAGAGTGGTTCATGTTACATTCGACCATAGCCTATCAGTCCAGATTTTGATCTCTCCGGAGAGAGAGAGACAGATATATTATCTATTGTCTGAAGAACCAAAACTCTTATGTCAGTAGTTTAAAAAGTGGGCACAGAATAGAAAATAGACTCATAATCCTGACTTTGATCATGAAAGATATTCTTGAATTTTTCAACTCTTCTATACTTTTTTCTTGAAACTTTCTAATGTTTCAGTTATCGTTTGTTGACAATAGACCATGGGCTTCTGTCTTTCACCGATATTCAGCACAGAGAATGGCCTGTCGTGTTGATAACGAATCCGAAACATGCCCTTTTCGTCAATCCGGCAAGAGAAAATTTGGACATTATGAAAAATTCAACGCACGTGAGGTAATTCAGGAAAAAACATGATTCATGAATAATCATATGTTTATCACGTTCCTTCCCAGAATCCTTGCTTTCTCCTTATCGAGAATTGACTTTGTAAAGATTAAAATCGACAAAGGGAGCTGGATGCATTGCAAGAGAGTCAAAGGACCTTTATTTGTTGCTCCTTGGGATCCGGAAAATTATTTGCATGGCCTTCATAAAATAGAGGTAAGGTGTATGGTAATTAGTAACTTTGGGTGTTCATCTAATTATTCAATTTCGATATTTCATAATTTCAAGTGTTTCAGCGATTTAATGAAGAACTCGGGAAACAATCCAGACACATCGTACAGTGAAATATTTTTGCTAACTGGTGTATTTGGTGACTGAGCCTGACTTTTTTCAATACTCATAGTATGAACACATTTCAATAATTACTTGTTACTTTTTTTTTATTGGATTTGAATCAAAATTACACTGCACTGTGTTGATTGACGTTTTTTTGTAGAGGTTTTCTAAAAAGAACACACTCTTTTGTGTCTCAAAACAGTCTTGAATGCATACATCATCTTGTGATGTAAGAAAGGCACATTTTATAAACATGTTTTACAAAATACATATAGTTAGCACTTTGTTGTAAGATACTAAAGTTACACTATTGATCGTGTAGGTTGGAAAGAATCCGTGCTACCCAAAAAAACGTTGTATTAACTATTCTCGGTGTATAAAAAAACCATTTCAACTCAGTAAAGTTTTTGGGTTTCAATAACGACAACCTAATTTACTGTCTTTTAGATATGATATTCAAAAGAGTTCTATGAAACTTTTTTACCTTTACTCCCCATACCTGACACCAATCATTCAGTCTGTTTTGCCAGATCACCATGGATGGATATAGCATTCAACAACAAGTGCAAATAATAATAAGATTTATTGTTTTTACATATTCAGATAATCGATTATAGAACTCACCTTCATTATATATTAAGGACCTTTGTTAGAGTGGAGGAAAGTATAAATAAATGAATGTTATTGTGTCACGTAGAGTAAATATTGACTCTGATGAATATCGACTTATTTTTGTTGATGAGACACAATGTTTGTAGTATGAATATGGACAAAACTGTAAGAATATTTTGCTTTTTAAAGTGCGGTCTATAGGAGTCACAACATTTTCTTACTGACACATTTTTTGATCATTTTGGTTCTGTATTTTGCTATCCTCACAGGTCTAGCCTGTCTGCTTGCCTCTATCAATAGTGCCTATGCTCCTCCATATTGGCATCACAGCCAATTATGAACTGGGTTATTTTTCCTCTGCATGTACTCACTAGCTGGTTGGTGGTGGTTCCATACTATTTTGTGAGCTACTGTATCAGCTGGGTTCTGTTTGTTCTGCCGAAATTCACTAGCTCCATACACATCCATGGTGGTGGTGAAGGGAGATCCTTCAAAAGTCCTTCTTCAACAGCTATTTCTAATTGGACCACCGGTCAACTCCTTGGTTCAAAAGTTACTCAATAGCAGTATATTCAATCCTTATTGGGGAATAACATCTGTTTATGAGGTCTCTGAATCAACTACCCCCCTGGATATCTCCTACTCCTATGATTTTCTTCTATTAATCCAGTGTTCTTGAGAGCAAAAACAAACTCTCCCATGTTCTTTGCAAGGACAGTCGAAGCACCCTCACTTTTGTTTGGCTTGTTGATACTCTCATTACTAGTCAGGGGAGTTGCTTGTTATGGTTGCTCTTGCAATTCATTTGGTTTTCATGAGTATGGGGAAGAAGTCTATATTCATGGAGGGTTTGATACCAGAGTGGGGGATACCAGATACCATTCAGCAAGGGATCAATATAATCCTTCAACAACGGACAAATAAATAAGGCAGACTAATTCTAACCCCCAATGCCGGAGGGGTATAGTTTTAGAGAGTAAATTATAAAAACCATGGAACCGTGTTCAAGGGTCATTGACGTTTTGATATGTCTTATAAATCTCACTGGTAGAACGGCCAATTAAGGTTGTGCTTTGTTCTGCAAGAGACTGAAAGGAAGAAAATTGAAACTATATGTAAATATGTATATTGATAAGCACCAATATCTTAGTTTTGTTTTTCCTGCGCTACAAGATGCTTTATATTCTTTCCAGGTGCACATCAAAGATGTTGAAGGTCGAACGAAATCAATATCACAGCCATTTTCCTTAGACGGCACAAGACTGTCTTTTGGACTACTGTCTAAATTTATTTTGATGACGAGTGCTAGTGTCCTGGTAGGTCTTGTTACGTTTTTCTATAATTAATCGAAATACTCTCTAATCTCATCTGTTCCAGTTCAAATCATTATTTTTCGTGATGCTGGCCGTAACGGTCTTCCCGCTCATTATTGTCAGGTACATGCACGAACTGGTAGCAGGTTAGTATATTTTTTTGACAAAAAAAAAAAATATATCTAATTGTAAGCACAGCTGTATTTTTTCACAGATAATTTCAATGTCGCTGATTTCAAGTCAAAGCAAAATTTTTTCACCAACTATTCCATCCAAGGAAAGAAANTGCAGCGTTTGCACTGCCAACCTTCACACATAAACTGTCGATATGTGCCTCCTATGTTAGCTTTTGATCCAGGAATATTCCAAAAAATGTAGCTACCTGACAGTATTCCAGAGTTTCACCACACATATTGATGTGTGGTGAAATGACTCATGAAATGCCGTCATTTCATGAGTCTCTTCAATCTTGATAACAGGAAAAAGTCGCAAGGGACTAAATCTGGTGAATACGATGGCTGAGGTATGATTACGGTGTTGTTATTGGCCAAAACAACACTAACGAACAATGACAAGTGAGCAGGTGTGTTATCGTTATGGAAAAGCCATGAATTGTTTTTCCACAATACCGGACGCTTTCTGCGTATTGCTTCTCAAGATAATGCTCGTTATTGACCGTACGTCCACGTGGCAAGAAATCCTGATGAACTTTGTCCCGGTAAACACAAAATTTTGTGCAGTCTTTGATCCATTTTTTTCGAAAGCAGCAAATCACCGAACATGCAAAACCCTTCTAATTTTTATGCCCCTCACCAACAAACTAAGCATGCTAAACAGCTGAAACTATGAACATATGTTCAAGACGAGTGTACCAACATAAAAATAAAAAATCACTAATCGAATGTTCGTAGCCGCGAAGTTTGAAAATTTATCGTATTTTTTTTATAAAACCTCCTACATCTCTAGATTAATTTTGGAAATCTGGGCTGCCGTTCCTCAGTAATCAACACATACCAAAAATGTAATCTCAAGTTTCTGTTTTTTAGCTGGCAAAATCGTTAAACCAAGACTGAGAAGATCCTGCTGGTTCAATTGGCTGAAAAAGATGTGGATAATGTCGACGGTAGACAGAATATTTTGGCCAATTGTTCTCTATCCCATCTATTTAGCCATCGGTCCATGGTCCATAGGCTATATTATCGAAGACCACGTTGGCGCTGTATTCGCTTGGGGTATATTCGTGAACGGAGCATATTTGCCAGGAGCTTTCACATATGTTTACGGGTTTATACAGGTAATACGATAACAAAACGATATGAAACGTATTTAATAGAGTTTTCTTTTCAGTTGTTCACGTTTCAAGTGCCAGTGAGTTTGATAATGATCACAGCAGTGGGTTTTAGGTAAGTATGAAAATTATCTTTTTGTAAGCTAAAAAATTATATCTATATATAATAATTATTAGGTTCGAAAAATTGATGGATGTAGCCGTTACGACGTGGTAGGAAATCTTCATGAAAAACAAGAATTGAAACTATTTGTTTTTTTATCACTTTTATTTGTAACTAACGTTATTGCAGTTTAGTCTTATAAGGACATTTTCAAACTTTCACATTAAACTAATTATTAGTTTGAAGAAGAGTCATTACAAAGGACAAAACTTTTGAAACAACGTAATATAACTGTTCCAAAATTATTTCAAAAGACATTTTCATAGGCGATTCAATAATAATAATGAATTCAATTTGATTCATTTGTATAACAAACTGACGGTTTCTTTTTTTTTCAATTGAAAGATGTTCCAAAAACTAAGGCTTTTACATGCTTATCTCCATATCTCATTTTTTGACATTTGCAACACAATTATATTGATATAGAAGTATATGTCCAACAAACACAGAATGATGAATTTCACTAGTTCGGAATTCCATTGTCTACTATATAAAATGATTTGAAATCCCTGAAACAACTAAAAAAGAAGAATTGAAAATGAATAGCTGAAAATAACAATTATATT